TTCTGAGGTTCTTGTGGGTCCCACCACAAGGCAGAAGGTCAGGCAGACAGGTGGAGACAGCTGGAGATACCTGGGGACAGGTGGGGACACCTGGGGGGGTTGGAGTTCGTGAGAAGCCTGAGGAACATCTGAGGTTTTTATGGGTTCCACCAAAAATTCTGGAGGTCTTCAGGTTCTTATGGGTCCCACCACAATGTGAGAGGTCGGGGAGACACCTGGGACAGGTGAGGGCACCTGGGCACACCTGGGGACAGGTGAGGGGGTTGGAGTGTGTGAGGGGTCTGAGGAACATCTCAGGTTTTTATGGGTTCCACCAAAAATTCTGGAGGTCTTGAGGTTCTTATGGGTCCCACCACAACGTGGAGGGACTGAGGGACAGGTGAGGACAGGTGAAGACAGGTGAGGACAACCTGTGGGGGTTGGAACATGTGCAGGTGTTGAGGTTTTGATGGGTTCCACCAAAGGTCAGGGGGGTTTCGGGGGGTCTTCATGGCCATTGTGGTGGCCTACGTGCCCGAGGGGCTGCTGGCCACCGTCACGGTACGGGCAGCGGGCAGGTGGGGGCACCTGGGCGCACCTGGGGGCACCTGGGGGGGTTGGAACATGTGCAGGCGTTGAGGTTTTTATGGGTTCTACCAAAGGTTTTGAGGTTCTTAGGGGTCCCACCCTGGGCACACCTGAGTCCCACCTGGGCACACCTGGGTCCCACCTGGTCCCACCTGGGTCATACCTGGGCACACCTGGGCACACCTGAGTCCCACCTGGGCACACCTGGGTCCCACCTGGTCCCACCTGGGTCATACCTGGGCACACCTGGGCACACCTGAGTCCCACCTGGGCACACCTGGGTCCCACCTGGTCCCACCTGGGTCATACCTGGGCACACCTGGGCACACCTGAGTCCCACCTGGGCACACCTGGGTCCCACCTGGTCCCACCTGGGTCATACCTGGGCACACCTGGGCACACCTGAGTCCCACCTGGGCACACCTGGGTCCCACCTGGTCCCACCTGGGTCATACCTGGGCACACCTGGGCACACCTGAGTCCCACCTGGGCACACCTGGGTCCCACCTGGTCCCACCTGGGTCATACCTGGGCACACCTGGGCACACCTGAGTCCCACCTGGGCACACCTGGGTCCCACCTGGTCCCACCTGGGTCATACCTGGGCACACCTGGGCACACCTGAGTCCCACCTGGGCACACCTGGGTCCCACCTGGTCCCACCTGGGTCATACCTGGGCACACCTGGGCACACCTGAGTCCCACCTGGGCACACCTGGGTCCCACTTGGACACACCTGGGTCTCACCTGGGCACACCTGGGTCACACCTGGGCACACCTGGGCCTCATCCCACCCTCACCTGTCCCCGCACAGGTACGGCCACGGGGCTGGTGATCAGCACGGGCGACCGCACGGTGATCGGGCGCATCGCCAGCCTGGCGTCGGGCGTGGAGAACGAGAAGACGCCGATCGCGGTGGAGATCGAGCACTTCGTGGACATCATCGCCGGCCTGGCCGTCTTCTTCGGCGGCACCTTCTTCGTGGTGGCCATGCTGATCGGCTACCCCTTCCTGCGCGCCCTCGTCTTCTTCATGGCCATCGTGGTGGCCTACGTGCCCGAGGGGCTGCTGGCCACCGTCACGGTACGGGCAGCGGGCAGGTGGGGGCACCTGGGCACACCTGGGCACACCTGGGGGGGTTGGAACATGTGCAGGTGTTGAGGTTTTTATGGGTTCCACCAAAAATTCTGGAGGTTCTGAGGTTCTTGTGGGTCCCACTGCACCGCGGCCACTCCAGGTGGGACAGGTGAGAGCCCCTCACCTGCCCAGGTGTTCCCTCACCTGCCCGGGTGCCGTCTCACCTGCCCAGGTGTGCCTGTCTCACCTGGTTCCCTGTCTCACCTGCCCAGGTGTGCCTGTCTCACCTGCCCAGGTGTGCCTGTCTCACCTGCCCCTCTCACCTGCCCAGGTGTGCCTGTCTCACCTGGTTCCCTGTCTCACCTGCCCAGGTGTGCCTGTCGCTGACGGCCAAGCGCCTGGCGCGCCGGAACTGCGTGGTGAAGAACCTGGAGGCGGTGGAGACGCTGGGCTCCACCTCGGTCATCTGCTCCGACAAGACGGGCACGCTGACCCAGAACCGCATGGCCGTGGCGCACCTGTGGTTCGACGGGCAGGTGCACGCCGCCGACACCACCGAGGACCAGTCCGGTGAGCGACACACCTGGGGGCACCTGGGCACATCTGAGCACACCTGAGCACACCTGGGCACACCTGGGCACACACCTGAACTCACCTGGGGGCAGTTAGAGCACACCTGAGGGCACCTGGGCACACACCTGAGCAGTTAGAGGACACCTGGGCACTCCTGGGCACACCTGAGGGCACCTGGGGGCAGTTAGAGCACACCTGAACTACTGGTTTGGACTGGTTTGGACTGGTTATACTGGTTATACTGGTTTGCACTGGTTTGCACTGGTTTGTACTGGTTTGGTCAAACCCAGCCAGGACGGCGTGCCCGTGGCACAGGTGGGACTGCGGATACTGGTTTGGACTGGTTTGGACTGGGTTATACTGGTTTCGACTGGGATGTACTGGTTTGGACTGGTTTATACTGGTTTGTACTGGTTTGGACTGGGTTATACTGGGATGGACTGGTTTGGACTGGTTTGGACTGGTTTGGACTGGTTTGGACTGGGTTATACTGGTTTGGACTGGGGATACTGGTTTGTACTGGTTTGTACTGGTTTGGACTGGTTTGGACTGGTGTGTACTGGGATGTGCTGGTTTGTACTGGGTTATATTGGTTTGTACTGGTTTGGACTGGTTATACTGGTTTGGGGTTTTCGTTTGGACTGGTGTGTACTGGGATGTGCTGGTTTGTACTGGGTTATATTGGTTTGTACTGGTTTGGACTGGTTTGGACTGGTTTGTACTGGGTTATACTGGTTTGGACTGGTTTGTACTGGTTTATACTGGTTTGGGCTGGTTTGGACTGGTTTGGACTGGTTTGGACTGGGTTATACTGGTTATACTGGTTTGTACTGGTTTGTACTGGTTATACTGGTTTGGGGTTTTCTGTTACTGGTTTATACTGGTTTATACTGGTTTGTACTGGTTTATGCTGGTTTGTACTGGTTTGGGGTTTTTTGTTACTGGTTTATACTGGTTTATACTGGTTTGTACTGGTCTGTACTGGTATTGGGTTTTTCCTTACTGGGAGGGGCGGTGGGCGTGTCCTCACCGCGGCCCCTCCCCCCAGCGTGACGTCATCGGTGACGCCTCGGAGTCGGCGCTGCTGAAGTTCGCGGAAGTGACGTCGGGGTCGGTGGCGGCCGCCAGGGGGCGCTACCCGAAGGTGGCGGAGCTGCCGTTCAACTCGAGCAACAAATTCCAGGTGAGACCCGCAGGTGGGACCGGACAGGTGAGACAGGTGAGGCCCGACAGGTGAGACAGGTGAGAGACTGACAGGTGAGAGACAGGTGAGACTGACAGGTGGGACAGGTGAGAGACAGACAGGTGAGACTGACAGGTGAGACAG